GAACCTCCACCGAAGGATTCGTCTGCAAAGAGTACAGATCTCTAGTGACGGATTTGCAAATTTGCATGATTTTTTTGCAAACTATAGTTTCATAACTCTGTTGTCTGCAGTCAAATTGAGCGTGTGACAGATCGTCTTGCATTCAAGTTAGCTTCATTTATCTTATTCCTGCAAGTTTGATTAGAAATGTTTACTCCATGTGTGTAGAACAAGTCCCTGTTTAAGGCAACAGCCGAATTGAATCGATTTGGCTTTGCTTGCAGTGCAAGTTGGCGGTCCTGATGGACCGTTTTAACATTGTGGTCTTCCTCTCCAATGCCTTTCCTGGACTGAATCTGTTTCCTGAAATCTTTGCCACAATCAACCAATGACGCTTTTTGACCTGTTCATCAATCTACCCACTGCATCTTGTGACATTCCAGTTTGTAGCATCCCTATGGCCCTACCAGCTTCCTGTACATCAAGATGTCGTCTTTGAGGCATCAATTTAATGGTCCTTATTAATTGTCAGAATGAAATATTGACAGTAGTTTATAAAGACATGCTTACCATTCTTAGTCTGCAATGCTGACTAGGGTTAAGACTTTTTTCGTTTGGCTACGAACACGAGGATTGATAAGTCGGTGAAGTGTAACAAAGGACATTTGTCGTTATGGTTAATCACACACATCATTTTAAAATAAATTTAAGAATTTGGACTTTTTTGAATTTAACTGTACTATATATAACCCTTAACTTTTTAAAAATACCTTTAAGAAAGGAAAAGGTGTCTGGAAATTTAACAACTCTTTACTTACAGACAAAAGGTACGTTGGCAAGGTTAAAGAAAAATAGAGTCTGTTAGAAACCAATTTATATGAAAAGAATAATGTACTTATAAAAGATATGAATTACAGTACATTTTTTGAAGTCCCTCTAATGGAGATTAGAGGAATAATTATCTCACTTTCGTCATACAGAGAGAAAGAAAAAAATAAAGAAGAAGCCTTGCAAATTGCACAAACAGAATAATTAGAGGCAGAGAATAAATTGAATCTACAGTAAATAGAGGAGAAAAAAAAACAAGTCTTGAGAATGTGAGAAAAGAAAAGTTACAAGGTCATGTTATAAGGTCTCGAGCCAGATGGGTTGAAGATGGAGAAAAACCATCTCAATATTTTTGTAAACTGGAATCCCGTAATTATTTGAATAAGATTATCCAAAAGGTCAAAACAGAGGAAAATGAAATTATTTACAATCGGTCAGAAATTTTAAATAGAATCAGGATGTATTACAAATCTCTTTATACCTCTGCAGATGCAAAACTTCTCGATATAGATCTTGCAGATATTATTACAGTTACTGAAGTTCCAAAATTTGAAAATCATGTTGCCAATACACTTCAGGGAATTATTTTGATAAAATGAAGTCTTACATGTGTTAAGAAACATGAAAAACAATAAGTCACCAGGAAATGATTTTTTTTTTTCGGTCAGATTTGAAACATTTCATAGTACTTACCATAAATGACATATTTAAGAAAAAAGAACTTACTATTTCTCAAAGAATAGGGATATTTACATGTTTACCAAAACGTGATAAGCCAAGAGAGTTTTTGAAACATTGGCGGCCTATTACGATTTTAAATGTGTTTTATAAACTTTTATCAGGTTGTATTAGTTATACAATAAGATCCACCCTGGGTAATATTATATCAAATACTCAGCTTGGATTTTTTAAAAGAAGCTACATAGGTGAAAATACCAGATTTATTTATGATCTTATGGCTTATACTGAATCTAGAAATATACCTGGTTTGCTTGTACATGTACTTATAAACTTTGAAAAGGCTTCTGATTCAATATCCTGGACCTTTGTGTATAATGTATTAAAATTTCTTGGGTTTGGTAAAAACATTGAATGGGTAAAAATTCTAAATACCAAATTTTATGCATCTGTACTTCATTGTGGATTTTTATCTGAACAATTTAATATCCAAAGAGGATGTCGTCAGGGAGATCCCGTGGCACCATATCTGTTTCTTCTTTGTGCAGAAAATCTTGCAAATATTATTAAACAAAATCAAAGCATTAAAGGAATTGTAATTAAAAAGACAGAACATAAAATATCTGAATATGCAGATGATGCCAGGCTTGCCCTTGATGGTTCACCTGAATCACTTTTTGCATCATTAGATACAATTAGTCTTTTCTCAAAGTTTATAGGACTTAAAATTAACAGCTCAAAACCTAAAACTGTTTGCATAGCTCCAAAAAAATTCTCAAATCAAGTTTTTCATCATTCTCGTAGGAAACTTGAATGAGGTTGCACATCTTTTAATTTACTTGGAATTAATTTTTCAGTAAAACTAGATAAAATTACTGATATAAACTATAATGTTCAAATACCCAAATTAATAGCATTAATTCAACAATGGAAAAGAAGGATTCTTACACCTATTGGAAGAGTTTTTTTTTTCTAAACACTTGCAGATATTGAGCTGATTTTTTGGTATGTGAGTGATACTTGATGAGTTACAGAACAAGTTTGCATTTCGTTCCGCTTCAATGATTTTTGACGGAATTACGACTTTTTCGGTATGTGACTTTACCTTGATGAGTTGTAGATCAAGTTAGCTTTTTGTTCCGCTTTATTGATTTTTGAGGGAATTATGGCATTTTCAATTTTTAACGGGAACCACATTACACTTGCCGGTAGGGGACTAGTATTGCTAATGCAATACTCTAAGAATGCTTGTTCCTATTTATTTTGAAAATATTATTGTATATGAAAAGTGCACTAAAATAATTTACAGATATTTGAATAGTAACCATGTCACTCCTACATCTATATTTCGATTGAACCAGGAGCTATCAGTGTTTTTAGAATCTGATTTTGTGTTCAAGAGGTTTTTAAGGTTTGTTTTAGAACAACTATGGATGCTACTGTTCAATACCTACAATATAGCATGCACCCTTCATAGAATCCTTCCAGTGAAATATTATTTGAAGAAAATAAATATTTTATCTGATGACAACTGTACTTTTTGTAAACAGGAGATAGAAACAATAGAACATATATTTTTGAATTGCACAAAGATCTCTTCATTGTGGAGTAATCTTAGCATGCGCATTTTTACAAAAACTTCTAAAAGAGTTGGGTTTAACACATGTAATATAATTTCGGTGAAACGCCATTATCTTATCATAATAGGGTGATAAACTTTATCATTCTATATACAAAGCAATATATCTTTTCCTGTTTGAAACAGAACAAAATACCTATGATTACTGGGCTGCTTCATCATTTACCTCTTATATACAAAGTAGAAAAATGCATATCAATTCAAAAATTTGCAATGAACAATTTTGAAAACTTATAGTCACCATAGTAACCTCAACTTTTTTGTTGAGTATACAATTGTTCGTTTGGTCGAATATTTTCCGGATTTTTTAATACACGTACGCATTGCGTTTATCTGATCAAGATAAAGGATTTTCTGCAGGTTGACCGGTCAAAAGAGTATTTTATGGCAATGCTTATGGCACTGTAAAGAATATTCATATTCATTTAAAAAAGAGTGTGACGATGGAATGTACAGTGTTAATTGCAACCAAACATGCGGTCGTTGTAAAAAATGATACACAATAACCACATCAATACATGTCTATACGGCTGTTGCTCTAGTTTTAATGGACTTCTTTGTGTAATTGGTCATACATGTCATTATAAATATTGCATCTTTTTTTTTAATTTTAAATAATAGACATGCCAGATAGTGTAACGTTTGTTTTATTATATAACTATAAACAATAAATAATTTAAGTTTGTAGACAGTCCTATTGGGGTGTAAATTGTAAAAAGAACTGTAGCACAGATTGTGTCAACCGGACTTGTCATCACGTGACAGGAGCTTGTCAAAGTTATCTTAATGTGAGTGACTTTTTTTACAAGGATCTTCCAATCACTTCTTGTTTTAAAAAAAGATATACACTCACGAATAAATAAATGAAACATACGTATTTCGCTACATTTAATATCACCTTTATGTTAATGTTCATTGAAAAGAGAGACACAGACAATGAGCAATTATAAATGATTTAATAATTATTTCTTATTTTTCCAAATTTGTAATTTCAGATGCGTGAGCCCTGTAACTGTGATAACACTATAACAATTATAAGTGTTATTGTCTCTGTTTTAATTGTTGTTTCCGGAAGTGTCTTGAACTACATTATCTGGAGGCGAAATCGGAGTAAGTGCACTTCTTAATTCTATTATATATTACACCTATATTTTGCCTTTTCTTTTCTCTTTGAACTGTTGCTACTACTGTTGCAAAGATTTTTTCTTTTTTTTTTATTTTAAGGTCAAGGTACGGGAGTTAACACAGGACAAAAAAGAAATTTAAAAGAATTTTCAGCTGTGAATATTGCAGGTAATATCGTTTATAATCAACTCAGAATATATTACTTAGGGCATTTCAATTTAAATGAATGAAGTGTTGAGTATATGTACATTCTTCCTCGTGCAAAAACAATCATTCATCTTTGCTAGGGAATAACACACTAATAATTTTTTTTTCAAAACATACAAAGAAAGTTCAAATATTGACCACATGACTGAAACAAAAAGGGAAGACTAGTAGATTCTTGACCGTGTTTAGCATTATCATATTAAAGATAAGGTTCAGAAAATGGTCAAAATAATATTTTAAAAAATTATTTATCGTAAACATAAAAAAACGTATTTTTTAAGCTCCCGGAGGAGTATTATCGGTTATGTTTTGTGTCCTACAGGCCATGGATGGTAATACATTTACACTTGACAGGGTTTTGAAGTCTTTGAGCTGTGTTTCTTCATAGTTTTTTTTTTTTGGATGAATGAAGTTCGAAGTTGTAAGGAATCAATTAAACAATCTGAATTTGTATGTATAGCTGGCCTCATATTACATGTATGTGTTAAATAATTATAATTTAAGCAGATATTCAGATTTTGTGAAATATGTTTATAATTTTCAGGTCCAAGGAGCAGCGATGATAAGTATGTATTATTTCTTCATTAATAAGCCTAATGTTTGATGAAGTATGAAACATTTTGTATAATTTATTCTAAGATGGACTCGTTTTAATATTAATGTTTTGTTCACAAAAATAGAATAACCTCCACTTATGCAGAACTCGGAGATCTCGACAAACCCAGCACTTATGATGAGCTTCACGTCTATGCGAAAGCTGATGAGAAGATGTAATACATTTTGAAGAGAAGTAAATAAATTATTGTTTTGAAAGAGTTTTTCTACTGAGTTTTTCATCAATGTCCTTTTTTGATAAATGTATGAAATAAATATAAAAACGAAGAAAAACAAAATCATGGTAAAGACTGTTGTAGTGTTATGACCCCCCCCCCTTTATTTTTATATCATTGTATTTTTGAAAGTGTAAGTAAAACAAGTGTACATGATAGTAACAGTTTGGATTAATGTACATATATAAAGTTGATCACTCACTTATGTGTTCTACGGTAAATGAAGCGCGTGTTTACATCATGTTTACTTTCGTTTTCCTACTTCTTGTGTAAACGGAGTTTTCTTTCTTTTGTATAATGAATACTGAGGCATTCCAAATGTTAGATTATCGATTTTTCTGTTACAGTAGGAAATATGAATAGCATGTTCTTTCGATAATGATTGAATGTATACGAGATTTTTGAAAACATAAGAAATGTTTATAATGTAAATATTACGTTTTGTTTTATAATTTCATAGACCAGAATCGACGAGATTTTACTAAGCGAAATCTGTATTGAAATTTTCTGTTATATTTTCTGTTAATGACACGTGATAATGCAGATTCTGTTTTTCTGTATTTTTCTATGTTTTGCTCGTGCGATGTATAGAATTCTTTTTTTTTTCATAGTATAAAAGCCTGGTAAATTCTGAAATTCGAAGTCCTTTGGTTCTCTCTCATTCTTCATGCAACGTAAGTCATTTTATTTTGTTATTATGGTTTGGCTACATCTTAATTTTTGAAAGGAAACATTGAATTTTATTTACGGGAGGTTGTTTAATTGATTTATGAGAATTAGCAAATATTTTGGTAATTTATTTTGCTAATTTTAGGTATTCGTTTGAGACTTTGATCAGTTGACATTTGATAGCAAACTAGATTTGGTAGTATTTTACTGAGTTATTTAATTTCAACTTTATTGGAAAGTCTGATCTATCTGATTTCTAAAATTAGGCTCTCTTTTTAATTATTTATGAGAGAAATTATATTTTAAAAAAAGTCTTTGTTGAAAACATAACTTGATGATTGTCTAAAGTGATCACTGTAATTGATAATTAATTTAATTACTGTCGTATGAAGACTTAGGGTATTTCTCAAGAGTGATTTTCCTCAGAGAAATTTTATTAGGAACTTTTAGATTCTTAAGGGTCATTTTCCCCTGAGAATTCTATAGCTTATTCATTTCTAATTACTGATAAGAAACTAATGAGCGATAGTCTCAGATGAGTTTAGCTTTTAATTTTTATACAAGAAGTGATTGACCTTCTTGTTTTGTCACATTGAGTTATCCCGAGTTGTTCCCCTTTAATTGTGCTAAGATATTGGTCGATCTCGTCATCATGTCGGTTTTGTGAAACAATTTTACGCACATGAGTGAAGTCCTCTGCCGCGTTGTTTTATATTTTGCTTGTATATTGATTTGAATGAATAAATTTGTTAACTTTATGAACTTGTGTCTTATTGCAACAAGTCTTTAAGACGTCTGTTCAGGTGTTGGTAATGGTCAGTGTCAGGGTCAGAGTAAAAGTATTGAGAGTGAATAGGTCAGGTCATTTTATTTTTTTATAAGAGGTCAAATTCGAGTTTCCTTGCTGATGGGAGATAATCAGCTGGTGGCAGCGCTACTGGGAAAAGGACTTTCCCGCTACACTATTATAGAAGCTTTTACCCTGGTTTTATGTATTTCACCTTTTAAGTTGCTTGACATTTGTTTGTGTTCACAGGATGAAACTCAACCATTCACTTAACTGAACGATGACTAAAAACCTCCTGAAAATTCACTGAATGGCAGGTTTTCAAGAGGAAAATCATGTGATTTTTACATGGCATGTTGGATAAATTAGAATTTGCAGATTGTGATGTATATTTGACATTTGAATGGTTGTTCATGTACATCAGTCAAACTTACTGTGCCCCCCCCCCCCCCACCCCAAGACACTATTTGAATGGATACCTTGTGCAGGCAAAAGTGCTTATCATACTTGTACCTGGTTAAGTTATAGGAACGACTAGCAGCAAGTATATTAAAGAATTTCTTGAGCTTTAGTCATATTTTGTCCAAACATGACGCTCATGTACATCATAAATACCAATGTCGACTTGTCAATGCTTAATGTGAACTTTTTCATGCCCGTGCCATTAAATGGCCGGGGCATATAGTGTTACCCTGTTCCGTCATTCTGTCATCATTCACTTTCCGTTCATTATCTCTGCAACAGTTGCACACAGAAGAGTCAGGCGGTCCAAAATTTAAAAAAAAAGTTATTTAAGACTGCATCATCACAGTGCCGTTAGCTTAAGTTAAAAGCATACAAGTATAAGTAGGATTGACATTTTGACCATCAATTTGTATATGTACATGTATTAAAACTCTGGCTCTTGGAACGCACAAATTTCGGAATTTTCCAATGGAACAACAACTTACTGCATGTCATCTTGGATAAAGTTTGCTTGTTTATTTCAACAAAATGACATGATCTACAAGGCTACATTAAATGTTTAAGAATACCGAATTATCCTCGCACAGGGAAAATGAATTTCACAATTCTGTTCTCAATAATCTTGCATAGCAGTTTGTATCTTTTTCCCAATTAGTAAATCAAGGGAATATATATATATATATATATATATATATATATATATATATATATATATATATATATATATATATATATATACATACATACATACATACATATATATATATATATATATATATATATATATATATATATATATATATATATATATATATATAATGACTTACTCAGCCCACCTAGAACAATGGACTCTACAATTCAAGTACATGTAGTTCATTTTAATAGTGCAAAATATTACATGATAGATACTTAACTGCTTTAAGTAGTTTTGATGGAATTTCAATGGTTGACAAATAAGCCTTATAGAGGGCCTGCACAATGTTTCCAGTGGACATAAATTTCACAATTTCTTGTGGCAGCTCTTTGATAAAACAACGATAATCCTTGATAAATTTTCACAAGTAACAAAAAAAGACTTTCAAAGTTGCTCAAAATAGTTGACACTAACTGAAATCTTAGTTTCTCTTACCTGGACTTGGGGAAACAAACTTACAAAATTTGGATAACAGATTGCTATTCAATATAAGGCAAAAAAAAGATTTTCATAGGTTTAATGTAGTCGCAATATATGACAAATTGCGTTCCAATTTAAATCCAGTGAAGATGAATTATGTTGGATACCTTTACCCGAAACTAGGCCAGAACCATGGGCCCGGAGAAGAGAATTTTGACCAGCATGCAAGATATCAATATGTAAAGAAGATTTTCAAAGGTGTAATGCGTTTCAGTTTATGATAAACCTAAACAACGGTGGAATATGCACGCATGGAACATGAATTTATCGTTATGCTTTAAGGGATAATTTCTCACTGTTACCATGCATGTAATCATTGTAGCAGCTAGGTGTCCATAATTAAATATTTTGTAAAGTAAGCACAACCCTAGCGCCTGAACAATGGACCTATAGATTTTGAACTTGAAATTTTGGTAGCCGGCTAAGTGGTTATTTTAATCATGCAAACATCTTATCTGACATATTTTCTTAAGAAGATAATATGTACAAATATGTATTTTCAAAGGACCTGAGCCATTTACCCCGATTCGATGAATTTTAAAAGAAATGGTATAAGTTAAGTGTTATTTATAATTAAGCAGCAGTTTTTCTGATTGACGTCATATACTTTAAGAAGAAATTTTAAGGTATCACGTATTCAAAATACCTGTCATCCGTTCTGAGGCCTAAACACTGGCACAATGTAGAATTAATTCTATAATCTTGGAAAACGGTTCAGTACTGGATGTTAATCATGTGAACTGTGTTTTTGCTGGTAATAAGTCAGGAAAGTAACAGTGTTTTTGCTGTCCACAAGTCAGGAAATATTTTTTTCAAGTATGTATTGTCATTGCATGACCAACTTTACTACGAATAGGAATTATGTGATTTTCTATTTCGGTAGAGGGTATGTCCATGCTATTATCAAGATACAATTGAATAGTACACCTTTAGATTTGAACGACTTTTTAAATTCCAGATTTGTATGCCTGCTCTGACACCTGAATCTCCCAGACTTTGATTTAAAATTTCTTGTAAAGGGTAATTGCTTTATTCATTCATCCTAAAAACGGGAATGGATTCAAAAGGTAATTTTCATTCCATGGGTTATAAATTGTGCAAATTCGTAGACAGCAAACCACTCAATTTTTTTTTTTAAAAATCGCTTGTTTAACTTTCAAACCGAAATGAAAAAGGATGGAGATAACGAACATTCATTGACCTATAAACAATTCAGATCTTTGAACAGGCCATACACTTGAAATTCCAAAGAATTGCATTTCAAAAACAACATTTTTTTCCCCAAGTAAGACCAATTCTCCATTTCTAACAACGATATACTAGATTGCTATTGGGCGTCCAAGAAGCTCATGTGACAAAAATATTTACAAAAAGATGAACATGTCAAAATTCGAAGAACTTGCCTATTCTACCAAAAATGCACCATGTTACCAATATATATATTTAAAAAAATTTACACTTGATTGATATCCATTACCATATACTGTTTTCAACAGAAGAGCAACGACCATTATCAGTATCTTGAATCAGGTTTGAATACCAGAGCTTAAACTAGTTATTTTGTAGCCTTAGATTATTTGAGGCTAATTTTCCAATTCTACTTTCTAGCTTGAACAGTAATTCGTAGTTCCTGCGATTTTTTTTATTTATAAATCCTTAGTTTTGTTCTAGGTTGCGTATTAAAGGAAAGGTTCCCCAGATTACCGTGTCACATCTCCGATGTGTAAATTCAGAGGTCTAATGTATTATCTGTAGAGTGAAAAAAAATATAAATCAAAGCAACTTTAAAATAATGTTTCCTTGCTCTTTCCCCACTCAGTATGAAAAAAAAAGTGGTCGGTAGCTATAG